AAGTCAAATGCTGGTAAGTTCTGATTGAGAAAATACATGACTCTTGAATGGTAGTGATGGTTGATTATAGAACAAAATAGAAAAATTTACCTGTGTTTTTATGTTGAAAAAAGGAAATTTTGATCTTGAGGTGTACTTTTTGGAGGAAACCTGCCGAGTTCACACAGGTGTGTATTTCTCCTCTAATGTTGGAAAGAGAAGTTTAGAAAGTGCGAGAGGCCTCCTTTGACATAGCCCCTGAGTTGATGGCAGCAGTCCTGAGGCCCCAGCTCTGCTTTCGGCCTCCCTGGTGACAACTTGGCCTGCTGCTAGTGAATGCAGAGTGACTTCTGGGAAGTCCCTGGCCAGTGCCTGATGGGAGGGAGAGTTGGCTTGTGGCCTCTGCACTTCTGACTTGGTTGGTGGCGGGTGCTGTGGCAGCACAAGCAGGTGCTGCCTGTGGCACCAGCATCCATGATGACTGCTCTGTTTCTGATACAGCTCCCTGTTAATGTGCCTGGGAAAGCAGTGAAAGATGGCTCAAGTATTTGGGCCAATGCACTGTCATGGAAGACTTGAATACAGCTCCTGGCTTTGGCCTGGTCCAATCTTGGCCATATAATATTGGCAGAAAAGACATATTTGACATTTTATATATATGTGTGTGTGTCAAAATTAGGCTTAAATACGTCTTTTAAAAATGGAACAGATGGGTACTCTTAAAACATCGGTGAGAAATTACTTCTAGAATGATTTGTACTAAATTGCTAAAAATTTAAATATGTTAGGGAGAAGTCCAGTTTGGATGAAAATAATTGCAAACCTCAGAAAGGAAAAATAGTTACATGGTCTCTAATACTAATTAGCTTAAAATTAATTATTAGTATGATCAAAGGATTATGTGAGGAATATTTATAAACAGCATATCCAGAATTAACAGGTTTAATTTAAAATACCTAAAGTATTTGTTTGTTTGGAAGGTAGATCTACAGAGAGGAAGTGAGGGAGAGACCCGGAGATCTTCCTTCTGATTGTTCATTCCCTGTATGGGTGGCAGATCCACTCTGAAGCCAGGAACTTCTTCAGGATCTCCCATGTCAGTGAAGGGGTACCCAGCGCTAGGGTACTCCTCTCCTGCTTTCTAGGCTCGTTAGCAGAGCTGGATGGGGAACGGAGCAGATGGCATTCAAATGGGCACCCCTATGGGATGCTGGTGTACTCCACAATGCTAGCCTCAAGAAGTTTACTTTTTTGAATCATGCAATTGACACCATTGAAATATTTATCATTTTGTGATTTCTGATGAATTATTACTAGAACAACTCCAAATGTAATCTCATGAAAATAACGCAGTGCTCAATTTTAAAATCAAAATACACTTATTTTTATTGTATGTTAGATGCGAAAAGATTCACTCTTTCTAGCCTGAATAAAAATTCAGTTTACCAAAGCATTGCGTTGATGCAGCAGTATTTGACGGAAGTGTGAATCAATATCAGTGGGAATATCCAGATTTTCAGAAAAACCTCTGTCCTAAATTGCATTTGAAAAATGTGAAAATCAGTCTAGTTTCCTTTATTTTATAAATTAGGGTTCAAATTAATCTCTTATTGTATGCTATTTGTGTTGCAGGTTCATTATTCATGATGCACATTGGTAATTGCACAGTGAGTAATGGTAACTTCACCAGATGTGGCAATTTCGCAGGTAAGGTGGAGAGTTCAGAACTGATTTATGTTGCTTTCACAGCTGGAGCTTTTTAAGATGTTAATTTGAAGCATATGATCTTCAAAGCAATGTCACCAAATGTGGCCAGTACATGGTTCCCTCTACTTATGAAGTGTAGGAGTTGAGATCATTCTTAATATAGTGAAATGGGAATGGGTGTCAGTGTCTGGACTTGCTATGGTTTCTATGTTGCTAAAACCTCAAATTCCACAGCTGGCATCTTTCAGCACATACAGCTAGCTACCTTTATGCCTGACAAGCGAGAGCTGCCTCCATGATGTGCATTCAAGGGGCCCAGTATGTTTGATATTTGATATCATTTACAGAAAGAGTTCCCTTACTCCTCTTGACACCTGTACCAACGAGCCATTGCTGAATTTGTGCCAAGAAATAAACAGCATATCGACATTTGCCTGGCTCAAAGAAACCAGTGTCCATCAAGTCGTAATCACTAACGTTAACACAAAACCAATGAAGAGACTGTGTGGCTAGACATTTGATGTGAAATTAAAGGCACATGGATGCTATTGTGTTCTGATGCCTGATGGTTCACAGTGATGCAGTTGAACTTGGATGTTCAATATGTCCCTCTTGAAACCTTGCAGCTGGAGTAGCCTTTGACTCTAGAGATGAAATAGCAGTAAGCCCAGGTAGAGAAACTTAGAGTCACTAAAACCAATTCCCTTCCAACCCACAGGGACATACTTCTGCATTCTGTTCCTTTCTGAATCACTTGGCCTTTATTAACACCATAGCAAATTGAACGCAGAAAAGGAAAATTGTGCGGAAGGCTCAGATTCACTCAATTTCATTCATATTTATTGATTACCTACTTTTTTCTAGACAGTACAGTGGAAGCCTCACGGTTGAAGGAAACAGTTTCAGCTCTCAAATAAAGAGCTTCGTACTCTTCTTCTTCGTTGGGCTGCAAAAATGTGAACAAATACGATACAGCATGCATCTCAGTAAAAGACTACCAGCCATGTGGGAGAATAAACAATGCAAGTGACAAGCCATGTGAAATAACTGGATGTGAAAAAGCATTTCAGACTTAGGGGAGCAAAAATAAGGATAAATACTCAGAAGATAAAACAATATGATTCATTTATGGATAGTGCACTTGACCTAGAGATTAACATGATTGGATGATAATACTGATATATTTATTTTTATTTGAAAGGCAGAGTTACAGAGAGAAGGAGAGAGAGAGAGATCAATCTTCCATTCACTGGTTCATTCCCCAAATGGCCACAGTGGCTCGAGCAGAGCTATTCTGAAATGGGGACCCAGGAGGTTCTTCACCTCTCCCTCATGGGTATAAGGACCCGAGGGCTTGAATTATTCCCTCCTGCTTTCCCAGGCCATAAACAGGGAGCTGGTTTGGAAGTGGAGCAATCGGGACTCCAAGTGGCATGCATATGGGGTGCTAGCATCACAGGCAGAAGACTAGCCTGTAGAGTCACTGCACTGGCCCCCACTGAATGATGCTAAAATGTGACTGGAGTGCCCTGCATTGTGGTGTAGCGAGTGAAGCTGCTGTTGGAGTCACGACTGCTTCTCTTCACCAGTTCCTTGCTAATGCACCTTAAGAAGGCAGCAGATGATGGCCAAAGCACTGGAGTGCTACAGCCCACTTGGGGAGACTGGAGCCCTGGCCTTCTGGCTTTTGGTCTGGCCAGCTTTACTTGTGGCAATTAGGAAGTTAACTAACTGAAAATAAAATTTCTTTCTCACTTTTTGCTTTTCTCTCTTTCTCTCTGTCTCTTTCCCTCTCTCCCTCCCTTTCTTTCTTTCAAATAGATAGATCATAACTTTTTAAATAGGTTATTTAAACTAATAAATGAAACTGAAAATCTAAGTACAACTGTATCTAATAAAAAATCAATTAAATAAATAAAAAGCAAGGAAGAGTTTAGGCCCACAGATTCCAACTTTGAATTCTACCCACAAATTTCAGTAATAATCATTTTTTGTAAGATTTATTTTTATTGGAAAGGCAGATATACAGAGAGGAGGAGAGACAGAGAGAAAGATCTTCCTTCCACTGATTCACTCCCCAAGCGGCCACAACAGCTGGAGCTGAGCCAATCTGAAGCCAGGAGCCAGGAGCTTCATGCGGGTCTCCCACACAGGTGCAGGGTCCCAAGTCTTTGGACGATCCTTGACTGCTTTCCCAGGCCACAGGCAGGGAGCTAGATGGGAAGTGGAGCTGCCGAGATTAGAACCGGTGCCCATATAGGATCCTGGTATGTTGAAGGCGAAGACTTTAACCACTCTGCTATCATGCCAGAGTGGTTAATTATTTTATAATAATCATTTTATAAAATTCTTTCAGAAAGTAAGAGGTCAAGGGGATTCTTCAGAATTCATTTTATTAGATCAGCAAAAATCCAGATATGGAAATGAACAGTCTGTAACCTCCCCTCCAAACAGAACAAGACAAACTACAAATGCCCCTTATGAAGAAACATGCAAATACCTTAAATGAATTAATTAGTGCTGAATCTAGAGACACGTAAGTAGGACGTGACTTACTCCTTGGGAAATTTATCCCTGAAATGTGAGTCTGATTTAATACTATAAAATTATAAGACTTGTTATGGCTTATTAGCAGGCTTAAAGAATAGGATGGAATCCACTCAGTAGACACAGAATAAAACAGACAAAATTCTGCTTCCACTCGTAATTTGTTTCAGCAAACGAAATTGCAGGAAATGTTTTTGCTGTGATTACAACGGATCTGTTCAAAACCTGCACTTTGTTTTTCTAATTTTTAAAATGTTTATTGGAAAAGTAGGTTTACAGAGAGGCCAAGATACAGAGAAAAAGATCTTCCATCTGCTGATTCACTCCCCAAATGACTGCAACGGTCCGAACTGAGTCAATCCGAATCCAGCAGCTTCTTCCGGGTCTCCCACACGGGTGCAGGGTCCCAAGGCTTTGGGTCTTTCTCCACTGCTTTTCCAAGCCTCAAGCAGGGAGCTGGATGGGAAGTGGAGCATCTGGACACAAACTGGTGCCTGTATGGGATCTCACCGCATGCAAGATGAGGATTTAGCCACTAAGCTATTACACTGGGCCTCCAGGTGTGTCCTTTTTTAATTAAAGAAATGCAGTTCTTGGTCATATCAGTCTGAACACTAACTGGCACTTGTACGAATGCCAGCCCTGTGAGGCAGAAGATAAAGGAAGTGGAGCAGCCGAGACATGAACCAGCACCCATATGAAATCCTGGCGCTTGCAAGCAAGGAGGATGAGCCAATTGAGTCGTTGTGCGGAGCCCATACCCTGCACATTTCTTCATAGTGAGGACTGAATGCTTTTACAAACTGAACGTGAGTCAATGATGTTCTCTTTTACTCTTTATACTTGACACCATCATGGACATGCTCACATGTGAGATAAGGTAAGAAAAGATCAGTAGGATACAGATAGAGAAGCAAGAAGTCAGGCCATCCTTAATTATAGGTGAAAATATTCAACATGTCATAATCTACAAGACGAGAATTTATAAATCAGCAATGTCACAGGATACAGACATTTCTGTATACTTTTAGTGAACAGGTAGAAAATGCTATTTAAAAATACCATTTACAGTAGCATTCAATCACAAAATAACATGGGATAAATTTAAATAATTTATATTTGGATAATATCCCATTGTGTATACATATAATCAATGGATGATTAAAATGTAATATTATATGTATGCCACGTTTTCATGATCCATTTGTCTGTCAGCAGAAATTGAAGTGGTGTCCACAGCTGGGTAATTATAAATAGGATGGCATAGTGTTGTACTGATCTGGTTCCGGTTAGATCTGTACTCACAGAAGGGATGGCTGGATCATATGGTGGCTCTGTTTATTTTCATTTTCAGGGATGCGCCACACTTTTTTCATGGCTGAACTCATCTTTCCCCACTGACGGTACTTGAGGGCTCCCTTTCTACGTGGACACGTTGACTGCTTCCGTAAGCTGTGTTTTCATTTTGTGGCCTATTTTACTGTTCTCTGGGGAAGACTTTGAGTTTGGTATAGTCTCACTTGTTTGGTTTTGTTACCTGTGATTTTCATGTTAAAGGAATCGTTGTCACGATCAATGTTAAGGTTTTCTTTTGCTTTATTTAGGTTTTATAGTTTCATGTCTGACACTTAGATTTCTGTGTACCACGAGTTTTTGTGTAGGTGTGACTGGTACTCTTTTGCACATGGGCACCATGTTACTAACCCATTTGTTCAAGAGACTATCCTTTGCCCATGTGTGATGTCACACTCTTCTCAGTCAGGTACATTTGGAGTTGTTTCTGGGTTCTGTTCCATTGAACCATGTCCACCTTTTCGCCAGAGTCATAGTCTGTTTCTTATAGTAGTTCTGCAGTATGCCTCAAAATCAGGAAATGTGATGTCTCTAGCAGTGATCTTCTTTCTAAAGATGACTTTGGCTGTGGGGCAGGAGAATGTGTTTTACTTGCATGTGGATTTGAGGATTGCTCTCAATTTCTGTAAAACAAATGCAGCCCAAGTCTTTGATCAACGCAAAACCGCTTTCCCTGAGGGTGTGTGCCTCAGTGTTCTCCAGTGCAGCAGCCAGGGACATAGGCTGTTTCCATGACCAAAGCTGCTGGCATCCTCTGGCACAGTCTGTTCTAGTCAGTGCCCACAAACGCTCCTGGCTCTCTGCTGTGGGTGGTGTTGGGGTTCTATGCAGCCTGGCCTCCTGGGAGTCTTAGAGTAAGCCACCGTGGAGTGAATGGCACCAGCTGGGTAGCTGATTCATATAGCTTCCACCCTCTTTCATGGCTAGCCATCTGTAAATATCACTGTCCCAACTCCTGAACGGCTGCTCTGCACGGTTATTCTCCTCCTGTCCTTTTGCCTTTTTATGGGGGATGTACTGTGGTTCCTGTTTGTATTCCATTATGATGCTGCTACCCGTTCTTACTGGATTTCTGAGATTTCTTCTACTGGATAAAGTAACTATTTGTATTTTTATATTTTTACAAGTGGCTGTTTTGTGTTTTTTTAGGAGTAAAATGCTTTTTTCTTCTACTTCCCTATCTCGCTGATGTCATTTCTTTTTTTAAAGTCAACTAGTCAACTAATTTTAAAGTCAACTAATTAATAATTATCACCTGCCAAATAGTTTTGCTATGTAACATTACAGTCATGTGACACAGCATCACTTAAGTCACGTGAGTCGATTAGAGTGCTGGCTTGCAGAATGGTCTACTAATTACTAATAAACCTGTGAAAATACATGCCCAGAATCATTGGTCACAGAGAAGTTGCAAATTCTAAGCATGTTTAAGAACTGACTCATATCTAGTAGATCTGAAATTTTAGAAATAACACACAGTGCTAAATATTGGCAATACAATGGGATAACTGAAACTGTCAAAGTTTCATAGAAGGAATGTAAAATATCATTTTGGAAAACTTTTTAACATTTGTGCTTTTCATTTTCATTTTTTATGGAGTTATTTTTATTAGCAAGATTGACAGGGAGAAGGAGAGACAAAGGTCTTGTGTCCACTAGTTCACTCCCCAAATGGCCACAATGGCCAGAGCTGAGCGGATCCAAAGCCAGGTTCTAGGAGCCTCTTCCAGGTTTTCCTTGTAGATACAGGGTACCAAGCCTTTGGGCCATCCCCTACTGCTTTCCTAGGCGACAAGCAGGGAGCTAGTGGGGAACTAGACAGCTGGGACACAAATTGGCACCCTCATGGCTCCTGGCACTTGTGAGGACAACTAGCCAATTGAGCCATCAAGCAGGCTTGTGTTTTTTTTTTTCATTTTATGAAAGTTATACTTAAAATATTGACTTTAAAATATATTGTTTATGTTTCTGACAGGAACACGTTATCCCAACAGTGGTTTGGAGTTTAGCAGTGATAATAGACAAAATGAGTTTTATCTTTAAGGGGGAAAGAAGTGAACCGCTATTCTGGAAAGTGAATATAGCATGGTAACACTGCACTGAGGTTACTGGGAAGGTCCATGAAGTGGCTGGATAGAAGTTCAATGTGTCAGAGAAGAGAGGCAGAATAAACAGAAATCAGAAATTTGTGTGATCTTTACAAAAATTGTACAGACATAAAATTTAACATTGAACTAAAAACAAAACTCAAAAAGGATACTATGTTTCTGAGTTGAAAGAAAATATGGAAATATGACATTTCTTTGCTAGTCATTTCTTGGATTTCATGAAACTCCAAAAACTTCCCTAACAAGAGTAGCTAAGAGAACTTGGTAATGAATGAAAAGGATTGACAGTATTAGTATTAAAACATAAAATTTAAAGATATACTTACCAAATCAGCCTATTTTAATAGAATAAAAGCCTTGAAAAAAAGTTTACTGTAACTGAATAGGCAAGCCAGAGAAGATGTTGGTATAAAATCAATATATTTATGGGATAGTGTGCTCGCTTCTGCAGCACATATACTCAAATCAATATATTTATGGGATAGTGATATTATTTCACACCAGGACATGAATAAAATATTAACTTAATCACAGCCATGATAAATACCAAAATAAATTCCAGAATCAAATGACAACAAATACCTTAAGAAAAGATAAAGCATGGTTACATGAACAAACATTAAAAATTCACATAGAGGAAATAGAGAAATTAACAAGCCCTGAGGGTATGTTAAATGTTAATGACAGAATTCAATATTGTCAAAGTACAAATGACAAAATAGCACCCAATGCTGTTTTAAGTGTAATAGGTCATCTCATATAGTTAGGGAGTCATCACAAACATTTTGTTTAGCTACAGCCTTACAAATATCGACCACTTCTGAGCATGTAACTACTTTTCAAATTTCCTGCTGTGGAGAAAAATAAAGACAGCAGTGTTCATCATCGGATCAAAATTTGACAATTACTTGTGTAACAATAGGAAAATTGATTTTAAATAATGATTGAGCCACACAGCAGAATAGTATGCAGACTCTGAATTTGTAAAATGATGCAGCCATTTAGATGGTTTCTGTAAAGCTCCTAAAATACCATTAGGAGTGTTAATGGATGCGATGTGGTGGTAAGCCATGTTGAGGCCAGCAATATTAAGATGTACTTGGGGAAAATAGGATAAATCTAACAGACTTGAAGCATTTATAGAAGGGACAGGGGGCCCGGAGCGGTGGCGCAAGTGGTTAAGTCCTCGCCTAGCACGCCCGGGATCCCATATGGGCGCCAGTTCTAATCCCGGCAGCCCCGCTTCCCTTCCAGCTCCCTGCCTGTGGCCTGGGAAAGCAGTCGAGGACGGCCCAAACCTTTGGGAACCTGCACCCACGTGGGAGACCCGGAAGAGGCTCCTGGCTTCGGATCGGCATAGTATCGGCCCGTTGCGCTCACTTGGGGAGCGAATCATCGGATGGAAGATCTTCCTCTCTGTCTCTCCTCTCTGTATATCCGCCTTTCCAATGAAAAAATAATAAAAATAAATCTTTAAAAAAAAAAAGAAGGGACAGGGACCCTCCGCCTGCTGCGCAGGATTCTTCACCCACATCCAGCATAGGATGTTTCATTGAAGGGATTAAGGAAACTGAGGCATACTCTCGTTAAGCAACCTAGCCAAAGTCATTAGCTATGGAGCAGGAATAATGTCAGTAAGGTATGCGCTTAATCCATGTTTGTTACAGCACAGGAGTGGTTTTGTGCTTGGAGGAGCCTCGTTTGGCCCCCTGATGATTCTTCACATTTTGCAAATTTTGTACAATAAGCATCCTTAAAAAAAAAAAATTGGTGACCTAAGTAACTGCCGTTCTTAAATCTTGATTTTGTGTAGTCACAATCCATCTATATTTTAGAACGGTCTCATCGCCGATTTCCGGCTCTCCCCGCCCCCCCACTCTGAAGCCTCAGGAAGCTTTGTTCCCTGGAGTCTCCCCAGATTTCCAGACCCGGTTTGAAATCCACTCATTGCAGGGGCTCTGTCCTCCCTCTTGCGCCTGCGCGCAGTTGCTGAGGTCCAAAGGCCGCAGGGTCTCCAAGTCTGGGAGACCCCCTCTGCCCATCCGTGACCTTGGGGTCCCTAGCGGTCGTGGGTTCCAACCCCCAGGCGCGGGCAGCGGCCAGGCATTTACCCGGGAACCCAGAGATCTTCCCAGAACGAGGCGCCCGCCGGGAAATTCCCTGGGGCTCTGCCCGAGACGGGGTCTCGGAAGGCCGGGAAGCCGCCTGGGCGTGGGGGTCATCACAGCCGGGAGGGCCTGTCCTTGGAGGGTTGGGGGTCCTGCATGTGCACGAGCTCGGGGCAGTGCCTGCATCCCAACCTGCCTGGGCTGCCAACGCTCCCGCCCCCCGCTGGCTAGGACTGACCAAAGAGTTCATTTCACTGTGCCTGGGACCTGGCCCTGGAGAAAAGAGAGCTGTGGGAAACATAACTCGGGCGGCTGTGCCTCATCCTGAGAGTAAAGGGCTGTCCGGCAGAGTGGGGGCATGGGGGTGTTGCGAGAAAGGGGTTCTGCCTGTGCTGCCCCTGGGAGGGAGGAGCTGCTTTGGGGGAGCTGGGGCGAGGGTGGCGCGGCCCCGCTGGCCAGAAGTGACGGGAGAGTTTTCTGAGTTTTCTGGCAAGAGCTGCCCTGCCGCTCTGCTCTCCAATTCTCGGCCAGCCCTGGGGGACAGCAGCGAACCCCCAAGTCGGATTCCTTCTGTGGCCAATACAGGGGTGCTTATAGAACTTGGGAGAGGGGGAAGAGAAAGAATCCTCGTGTGTTTTGATGTTTGCGGACCACTGACTTTGTGCCCTGCAGCTCTCAGGGCCTCAGCCAGTGCGGGGGGGTGTCCCTGCAGTTCTTTGGGTTTGTTGCACATTGGAGACTCTGGTGCAGGAAACCAGGAGGGTCCCGGGTCCTAGGCGCGGGAGCACGCAGGGCTCCAGCCTGGTTTCCTGCCTCAGGAGTCCTGGTGTCCGCCCCAGCCCAGAGAGCAGTTTGTGCAATTTGGAAACTCGATAGGAGGCAGCAGCTGATCTCCCACCACCCTAAAAATAATCTGCTCCCGCGCCCTGCACGCTCTGGCAGCTAGCAGAGGAAAACGCTGTCATCCAAGTGCGTGAGTCCGCGTCTTTTACATAAATATCACTAAAAAGGTTTGAAGGGCAGCTGTAAACTGTGGGTTTTAGGCTTCGGTGAGCTGGGGGCGCTGGCAGGCTGTCCTAGCGGCTCCTTCTCCGGTGCTATTTCTAGGGTGTAAGCACCAGGGCCGAGAGGAGACAGGGGGGTGGAATCAGGTTTCCATTAAAAAAAAAAAAAAAAAAAAAAAAAAAAGCTTTCACAGCTGGCTCTTGCTCTAAGACCACTGGACACGCACAGAGGTGTTGCGATGACTCCCCCCGCCCCCCGTGTGACTTTTTTTTTTTTTTGTGGTGTCCACGAAGTGGGTTTCTGTCTGCTGAACTTGTGCGACTCTTGGCTTTGGTAGGCGTCCTGCGTCCTGCTTTGAAATTGACAGTTTGAGCCAGGGCAGGAGTTCTGTGTGTGGAGAGCAGCGCAAGTGCATCGTAGGGGTCCGAGGCGTCTTCGAGGTGTTGCCCCAGGTATTTATTCAGTTTTTGCTTTGGTTGGTCAGTGAGGGGCTTCAACGGGAAGTCCCCTCGCAGTGTCTCTGTGTCTTAAGGTTGCTCATCTGTTGAGTACTTAACACAGTTCTTTCGTTCGGTATGCGTAGAGTTTTATAACCCGCGAAGAGACGATGGATGGATTCGATTCAGGCTCTAAATCAGAAGTCAGTGGGCATATTTGCTAGCGAATTTCCTACTGGCGTTTGTCCTGGCTAACCAGCTAGCTAGACATCGCTTTTTTTTTTTTTCTTAAAGCCAACCAGAGGCTGAGTAACTTCAAAGTCTGATTTTGTGTGAAATGTGATGTCTCTCAGCCATAGCCTAACGGAGCGAGTCGCTCAACAACTGAAGAATGTGAGTGTTGTGTGTGTGTGTGTGTGTGTGTGTGTGTGTGTGTGTGTGTGTGTGTGTGTGTGTGTGTGTGTATGAACTATGTTGAGTGGATTCAGGTGTGGAAACTCGCCAAGTTCTCTGGGACTACTTTTCCATCAGAAACGATGCTTTCAGCCGAATAAACAGAACCAGGGGCAGGTTTCACTTAACTCAAAGAGAAGAACTGGCAAAATGGTGCACCTGCCTTTCCCTTCAGACATTACTGTCTTTTTAGAATTAAATCAGCCCGTGATGATTTCTTACAGAGGAACCAGTCTGCCTGGGCAATTACCACACTCATGAACCATATCTGAAGTTTCTAAGTCCTAGGGCGTGTGGAGCCTTGTGGAATGCACCTGTAAGGAAACAGGTCCTGATGGTGTGCTTGTCATGAGGCCACAGCTCAGACCACCAAGGAAGGTTTTCATTTTCTCCTTCCTGTTCTACAGACCATCGCTGTAATCCGAGTTTCACTTTCTATCTTTGATATTTATTCAGTTCTGTTTTCTGCTTCTGTCAGCTACTCTGGAGCCTTTCTCAGTGGGGTTACACTGAGAGGGGTCAACAAGAGGACCCTCCTAGGGTCTGGAACCTGTCTCAGTGCTCAGTTGAACCTGGAAAACTCCATAAGGGGCTGGGCTGAAGAAGGTCATGTGACAGAAATCATCCAATTACAGTAGTAGTTTATATAATTCCCAATCAGAGATTCTGAGTCTTCCAGTTGTTCAGGCTTAAGGAGGAAAGGAACTGGAGAGCTGTAAACACAGATGAAGAAATGGAAAGGCCAGTTATCTGGTTTGATTGGTTTACCCTGTTTAAAGTTGATATATTGCATTGGATCCCTTTAAAAGAGACTGTGGGGGTGTGTTAATTAAACAATAGTAAAATTCTTTTTTATGAATGAGTGAGCTCAAAGTTGCCTTTTATTTTTCATAAATAAGGAAGTACTTAACATTCTGTTACTAACTGTATCTATGCTTTTATTAATTAGGGAGAGAAATAGACAAATACATGAAGTTCTTACCCACTAGTTCACTTTCCAGATGGCTGCAATGTCCAGGCGTTGGCCAAAGTCAGGAGTCGGGCACTCCAAGTGCCTGGTGTGGCTTGCATGAACCCAGTTACCTTAGCTACCACCCTGATTTCCAGGGTCTGGACTAAGCTGCAGGTCAAGAGCCCAAGTCAGGACTCACGTTCCAGTGCCCCAGTGTGGGATGTGAGCAAGCACACACCTCAAGTTGGTGCTTGATTTACTCGGTTTTTGAAGAAATACATCTTACACACAACTCGGAGACTCCCACTGGACTGTAATTCTAAAATCGCAAGTTATTTTAAATGACTTCACCTAACTTAGAATCTTTAGAATGGTTGAGAAAGGATATACCCAGAATATAATTTTGAGTTTTTGGAAAAATGTAACTTTTATTTTTGAAAATGATAATATTTCAACCAGAGATAAGATAACTTAGCTAAAAAGGATTTGCCAGAAGTGATGCCTAGAGTGGATTGCTGATAATCACTTCAGCATTTCAGACCATAGGTTACAGACCATAGGTCTGTAACACCTTTGCTTGAAATTTCATTCTGCAATAACTTAACCAGGTGTAGTCAATGGTTTCTAATACTCCTTTTTTGTTTGTTTCCTAGGAAAAATTTTGCTCGTGTCCATTGCTTAATTAATTATCAATGAAAAGAAAAAGACAGAAGGTACTATGTGAGTTGATCAAATTTTTGCCACCTTTTAAATAAGCTAACTCTGAATTCAAGGTGAACATAACTATGGAATAAAAGCAAAGTCTATTGAGGTTAGAATTTAACCGGTCATTTGAATAGAATAGATATTTCTTTAAAAAGCATCTTGGAAGTCGCCTGGTGGGATACAGTGGTTCGGTTTGTGAGACACCTGTGCATGGCTGCCCCCTTCTCTATTGGTTTGCAAATTACTGACTTGCTCTGAGTCCCTGCATTCTCTGCTTCGAAATGCAGATAATACCACTACTTCTGTGGATTTTCTGAGGACAAAAGATAATGTATATAGTATGCTAAGCATTTAGTAGGTGCCACATAAATAGTAGGCACTATTGTGGTTTGCTGAAGGCTAAAGCTCTTGCTGGCATTTCTGATAGTACTTGGTGCATAGACCTTACTGCTCCACCGTATGTTTCTGTATAGCCATGAGAGGGATCCATTCCCAGTGTAAGTCAAACCTTATAACCCTGTGCTCACCTCACCACTGGAGTCTGCATTCCACTCAAACTGGGGTCCCAAGTCTGATTTACAAAGCGAGGTGTAATCTTGTCTGTTGTTTCCCCTCTAATCTCTGCTTCTATTCTAACATAATACAGACGCCCAGTGCAAAGACAGTGTCTTTCAACACTCAAGTGACGTCATTTAAAAAGATTTTTGTGAGACCTTGATAGTTTCCTTAACTTCTCTTCAGTTATGTTTGAGACAGCCTTCTTCAGAGGAAGAAAAATCGTCTTGGTTAATGTGTTATTACTCTTTTTTGCAATTAATGGAACATTTCAGTTAACTGTTCATCTAAAACTACTTGGTATTGGTTTCTCAGCAAGGGAACACAGGAAAATGTTGTTATTGCTTACTGTCATTGCTTTTTCAGCCATTGGTTTTATGTCATCTTTATCTTGTATGTCTCTGTTTTTGTTCTTTGATGTCATTTAAGTCGGACTTTCATGCAAAATACCATTTTAGGGAGATAATAGTTTACATATATTTTCCCAATTGAAATAATTTCCTTAAAAAATAATTTTCTTAAAAAAAATTTCCTTAAAAATGGAAACCAAGTTGCTTGGGCAATTTTTTTGTTTTTTCATGACAATCTTCACCGTTATTGATTTCATGCCATAGCTCCCTATTGAAGGTACTATGAGAGAGGTTTTAATAACATGATGATCTCTTGTTTTTCTGTTTTCTCTCTGTTCTAGAATAAGCCATATAAGAAGAAATGAGCCTTTCATTTTGTGGAAATAACATTTCTTCGTATGATATCTACGATGGTGTCTTACAAAACCCCTGCTTTGTGGATGCTCTCAACTTGGTCCCACATGTCTTCCTGTTGTTCATCACTTTTCCAATATTGTTTATTGGTAAGGTGTTGTGTTTTATGACCTAATCCTTGTGCACCTTGTTAGTGATGGAATTGCAGAACAGTGCGGCTCCTCCAATAAGAAAGCTAATGTGTAAGAAAACAGCAAACAAGTATTCGTTTTCCGATGGCATGTTTTTTGGCATCTGATCTTTCACAAATAGGGCTCACATACCTGCCTTCTTAGAAATGGCCCTCAATGGTTTTGTTTGTTTTAAGAGGGAATGAAACAGTTCTGTAAAATAGATCTAAAGCGTTCATTGAGTTTTTGTGCTCATTAGAGGGTGTAGAGTTTGGATAAATGGAGCGTTTGTTTTCAGGGACTAGTGCAATGCAACGGATGTGTCAAGGTCAAGAGGAGTGGCAGTGTCACCTGGTTAGCTCATTTGTAGGGATAGGGACAAATTAGTTTGATTCTTAATCTCATAGGGAAATAAATTTCCGAGCTGGAATGGAAGAATGCAGCAAGAGTGACATGGTTGGGGACTTGAAGTAGTAGGATGTAGGTACAGGAGCACGAGGCTATGAGTTTGATAGAATCTATGTGCAAACCTAAAAAAGGAGCTCATCATATAATCATCCCTGCTCTTTTACAGTCTATCTGGGGCAAATGTATAAAAATCTCTTGCAAGAAATAACATGTAAATGTCTGAGAATTCTAGAATTTTTTGATAAGTTAAATTATAGAGGTTAATAAACATATTGAAGCCTCTATGCATCTGAAAGATTGTAACAGAATAAAAGTGACCCTTTCTTTGTGTAATTTCCCAATTCCATTACTGTGTCCACATTCATGTTTCTAAGAGGGAACAACTATTTTGAATTATTTGTTGTTTAATATTCCTGTGCGTGATTTTGCCTATAAAAAGAAGACGACTAGTATAATTTAACAACCTGTTTGCCAAAAGGATTGAGAATAATTTGTCTGCTTTTATTTATCCATTTAACAAATTAGGGAGCAAGGACACTGCCATATGTTTACCATTAGTCTGACAGAGATCAAAGGGTTTCGTAGGGTATCTGCAGAGGCTGACATAATGCTTGGTATATAATAATTTATGTTAAACAAATGTGTAGACACTGAAGATAAGGACCAGGGTGACCGTTTGCAGAAACACTATCCATTTTATTTCTAAGGCTTTTATTTTGGTACTACTTGACCAACATTAGAATGGCTAAAAGCTTGTCTTGAACACACTAGGACCCCATATAGTCACTGGTTTGTGTACTGGCTGTCCCACTTCCCTTCCAGCTTCCTGCTTATGGCCTGGGAAAGCAGCTGAGAATGGCCCAAAGCCCTGGGACCCTGTGCCTATGTGGGAGGCTCAAGAGAAGCTCCTGGCTCCTGGCTTCAGATCGGCTAAGCATGGACCATTATGGTCATTTCAGGAGTCAGCCAATAGAAAATGCAAAAGTTTCCAAAACACCAGGAAAGCTCATCACAGTCATGTAAATTATTTCTGATGTGAGAAGCATTGACCCTTTGTTTAGCTCCTTTTAATTTCTTTGTTTTGTTTTTCCAGGCTGGGGAAGCCAAAGTTCCAAAGTACAAATCCATCACAACACGTGGCTGCACTTCCCTGGCCATAACCTGAGATGGATCCTCACGTTTGCTCTCCTGTTTGTGCATGTATGTGAGATAGCGGAAGGCATCGTTTCAGACTCGTAAGTGACGGGGCCTGCCTGATGGATAATAGCAAAGAGCATACAAAGTTAGGCATAGAGCTAGATGCGTGACGCAGAAATCAGAGCTACCAATCGTTGTGTCTGGTTATCATGTGATTTGTCTCTGTTTGTGTGTTGCTGTATAACTCCCCGATAACTCAAACCGATTCATGGGACTTGAACTCCTTTGTGTAACATGCATTTAATTCCTGTTCCATGGAGACCTCTTAAGAGGTTCTTCCCCTCCTTAAATAGCTGAACCTTCATTTGTGAAAACAATTACCTATATTAGTATATAGTTCTAATACTAGCAGCTATTTATCAGTATGCTAATTAGTTCTGATTTCATTTGTTTTATTCATATTTGCTTCCATTATTTTTTAAGTGCACAAAATGAGGTAGACACTAGGAAAGATTGAAAATTAAAATAATAAGAATATAGCCACAAACTGAAGATGAAATTACTTTAACATCAGGAATTGTTACAAAGCCTGATTTGTAAAACGATTAATTTATTTACTTTAGAAACAGATTTACAAAGAGGAGGACAGACGGAGAGGTAGAGAGATTTTGCATCTGCTGTTTCTCTCCGCAGTGGTCACTGGGCAGAGCTGAGCTAATCTGAAAGCAGAAGCTTCTTTTTGGTCTTCCATATGGATGGGGGGGCCAAAGGACTGGGACAGTTATCTGCTGCTTCCCCTCACAATAAACAGAGAGCTGGGTGGGAAGTGGAGCAGCCGAGACTCGAACTAGTGCCCATATGAGATGCCAGGGCCTCAGAGGGTGAGCCTGATGTGCCACCGGGACAGCTCCTCCCCCCACCCCACCAAATCCATGGTTTTTAAAGGGATCTTGACATTGTTTTAAATGGACACAATTTGTATTAGCAGATTACGATGAATTCTTAAACATTATCTGGGGGAAATTCTTCATCGAAGATTTAGAGAAAATTGACTCAAGTAGTGGGGAAATTTTTATTACCGGATTATGTTAAATAGTACATCTTTCATTGCAGAATTACTAGGAGAAAGCCTGTAACGTGTTTAAAGGGAAAGATCCAAAATAATTTTCCTCTTATCTAACAGAACCTCCCCAACATCTGTTTATGTTTTTCTGTTGCAATTAACAAGGAATGAAACTTGTAAGCTATTGTCATGGAGCCAACTTTTTGTCATGCTTTCCAGCAGCTCTTTGCTGATATGGACATGTCTTAATTTCTAGTAAAAAGAATAATCAGAGCTGCTACATTTTTTTTTTTATCCCTCCAAGCATTCAGGAACTTAATTGGCTGTTTTGTTACTGATAACTTTTGAAAGCCTCTTGGTGTGTTTGTATTAATATAAGCCATTTGTAGTCTCCATTATTTTACAATCCTTCTAGGCTGACTCTATACCTAATTGTTTTTCTGTGTGTGGGCCAAGTGGAAGATAGATTGGTGTGGTGATTTCTACCAACCCGACGTGACGTGAGCAGGATTCTTCTAACCTCGCGGTTGATGGATAGATCCAGAGACGGCGCTTAGGACCTGAGCTGATGATAATAGAGTGACTTGCTAATGGCAGACTTGTTTGTAGTGGTAGTTATAGGAGAAGATAATCCTGAACCTGGGCCCATCCTCTCACTTTCTAGCTGTAGAATTCTTCTCACTCTTTTTTTATCCAGGCTTCTCAAAAATTCATCTTTGAACTGCTGCTAAACCCAAACATACAGTATTCCTTTGTCTCTCTGTGGAAACCCAATGAATATTAACGGACCTGATGAATATTAATGACTCTTTTGAGGATACCTTTTTGACTTTTTAGCATTGTGACCCTGGAGACAATCCTTCCATCTTATAGAACAGGACTTTTATGAATTCCTCTTTTCTGAAAATACAACAAATGCTCATTATAATGAGTGTAATAACACAAAAGAATTTGTACTTCACCATTTGTGCTTTCTAATGACCCAGTGTTTAAACCTGTTATGTTTTTGTTAAGTACCGATCTATGTCCCCTTGGGTGTTTCTGCTTTAGACCCTTAGGTTTGCAGACTTATTTTCACTATGTGGTTTAATTTGATCAGTCTATTAGAGAATCTACCTTGCAAACTTATTGCTTTTGATAATTTATTACATTTAGTATGTACTGGAAAATTATAGATAAGTCTATCAATAATATATATGTTGTGACAAATTTTAGTGAGTTCATTGGTCAGATTACCAAAGTCCTACGTATTGATTTTTTGAATACCCTTTAATACCTTACATTGAAAAAGCATGTGTTAAGATTGTCACTATTGCTGTATTTTATTTAGGTTATTTTTATTTTCTCCTTAGTGAAATACTCTTTTGTCCTTTGAGGCTCTTAGCATGTTCATTCTGACTTTCTGGCTAAAGATATCTACAGTGTTAGGATTTGCAAGGGTTCTTTAAAAAATGCATGAAGGAGAGGTATTTGGTACAGTAGTTCAGATGCCCCATCTTCTTTTTTAAAAAGGTTTGTTTTACTTTTATTTGAAAGGCAACATTAGAGAGTGACACAAAGATCTTCCATCTGCTGGTTCACTCCCCACTTGACCACAATGGCCGAGTTGGGCTGTTTCGAAGCCAGGAGTTTCTTCAGGTCTCTGCCATTTGTGCTGGAGCTCAAGGACTTGAGTCGTGCTCCACTACTTTCCCATGTCTAAGCAGAGATCTGGATCAGAAATGGAGCAGCTGGGACTCAATCTAATGTCCATAGGGGCTCCTGGTGCCATAGATGGAGGCTTAGCCTGTTACATGGTTTCCCCATCTTTATTGCGTACCGCAGTTCAACTGCCAGCTCTCACTCCAGAATCCAGCATCGGTTGATGCAAAGCCTGGAATGCAACAGTAATAGTTCAAGTAATTGTGTTCCTGCTTCCCATGGACAGACTGGGATTGGATCTGTGGCTTCTAGCTTCAACCTGGCCCTGTTCTAAACATCGTGAACAACACGTGTTGCCTTTGTAGCCCAAATAAACATGGAGATAGGTTATTTTAAAGCTTGTGTGAAGTATAACTTAAAAGATATGTTTGTTTTTGTAAAAAAAAAAATTGAAGATCCTGCCATAATTTTTTCATAATGTGCTTTCTCCATGGACCTTTTCAAGATCCCTTGCATGTGTTTCTCCCAAGCCACTGAGGCCTACAAATCCTACTCTTGAAATAACATGGCATAAAGAAAATATATGG